CCACTATACACAGTATTTTCAGCTGACTTGAATTTTTAAATAAAGGAAAAAATTTCTATTATAATTTTTATTTTGCGTAAAGATCTATAATCTACTAATCACTATATAAATATTTAAAATAAAGATAATGGAACCTTAGGTGAACTACTTTTTACCTAATTTTCCTTCAACTTTTAAACAAAAATAGACAATTTGGGAAGACGAGATACAATTTTTCGAGCCTCGTGGCTCATTTTTATAGTCGCCGATCGTTAACAATTAAAAGAACGTGGCGCAAGATTCGAATAACCGTATCTCCTCTTCCCAAATTGTACATTTTTGTTCAAAAAAGCTGAAGGAAAATTACGAAGAATTTATTGTACTGATTGAATGTTACCTAATGTGCAAAAGAATTTAAGAATCACATTTATCGAAATCGTTCGTGGACATTCCGCGCTCGCCTTCCGAAAGCGGAGTGGTCATGTGGGTCAAGGCAACAGTTGAAATTACTCTTATTAATGATTTCTGACATCGGAGATTGATTACTCTATTCAAGTATGACACTTCACTACAACACCGTAACTGAATTTTAATGATTCGAAAAAACGATAGGTCCTTCTATGAGATTTGACACACTCGCGCACGTAGAAGTTGCAATATTCGATTGAATAATCCTGTGCAGTATCTATAGTGAAAGAAAAACTGCATTATTATTCTTATTAGTTTGAGTGACCATGAAGCAACAAATTCGTCACATTCGAATGAAATCAATATTTATAATATACGATATACATTTTGACGTTATCTAAATGCAACGATTAGAAAGGATGTTTTCATGCATCCAATGTAGACTACATTCTTGTTACTTCACATTTTCTCGATGTTGTAATTTCTAAGCGTGATAGTAATGTATTCTGCGTTACATTTAGAAAGAAAAAAAATGTTGACGAGATCTAAATGAAACAGTAAAAAGAAATATTGTATCGCTTTACATTGAAGCAAAGAAGTAACGTTGCATTCGATTTCTCAAAGTTCAAAGGAAGAACTTTGAACATTTCGATTGAATCAGATATTACGCAAGTTTTCAACATAAATGTTGAAAAAAAAGGATTTAAAAATGTCAATGTATTATTTTTAATCTTTGGAAACTGCGCTGTAATACAATATTTTTAACACTTGGTTTACAGGGCACTAAGAGCATTTGATTCATTTTGTTTCGTAAAAGTAACGAGCATATATTTATTGCGATCATCTACAATTTTTAATCCTCGCAGTACAAACATAACAATTTACTATTGTTAAACATAAATAAAGTATTATATATAATATAAACACAAATAAACAAATTAAACATAAATAAACTATTACACTACCGTACTTTCTTATGAACAAACGGCAGACGACATCAAGTGTCAAATGATTAAGTCAGGCCTCGAGTCTGTGTCCGAAAAAATTGGACGTGGTACGGCGAGTGTTAATACATGTCCAATGAAACGAATGTATTGAATAAATTCACCGTAAACGTATCTTCACAATTGCAATAATCGTAAATTAAAAAATTTGGCACATGTAATTTTGATGCGTTTCGTAAACTTAGTGTTAAGCTTATTATATAAAACGATATAATTAATAATAATAGTAAAATAACACATTAATATGAATCCTATTAATATTAAGATGAATATACACAAAAGAAACATAACATATTATATACACATTAATATTAATATGAATATTTAAAAGAAGTATAAAGTATACACATCAATATTAATATGAATATACAAAAGAACAATAATATATACACATTAATATTAATATGAATATCCAAAAGAAAATAAATATTTATGGACGGAATTCAATTTTGAGTGCATATGGTGGTAATTAACCCTAGAAAGATAACCATATGACAACGTACGTAAAAGATAACCATACGCTTCAGAGGCGCATGCTTTTCTAAGGCGTCAATTTTATACTAACAATGGATATTTATTTAAGTTAATCTAGTCATTTTAAAGGTTTGGCATTATTGTAAAAATAAAATGCATTTATATTATATTTTTTTATATTTTAAGTAATTTTAAACTTAAATCACTAGACCTCTATGAAAAATTAACAAAAATCAACAGTCTTCGCAGGCGCCTCTGCGACGTAGGTTATCTTTCTCGGGTTAAAAAGGTCATACATATTAACCTAATGTAGAGTCTGCGTCGTATAGACCTGACATACAATAGATGAGTAAAATTCGGACATCGTCGAAAAACTCGGACTTGGTTGACCTCGAAATATTGATGCTCATAATGGGGTAACGCATTGCAACCCCAACGATCGCGATATCGCGGGCGAACAATGGCCAATGCGGAATACTGAAGCAGCGCGTTTGTTTCACCATGGTCTCTCGAGGTGAAAGAAGCGGGCAACGGGAAAGATCTCCTAATTGTAAGAATTTAAGGACACATTATGTAAGGGAAACTGTTTCTCGTACAATGGACAATTCGTTTGGTGTAACCGGCCTGACAAACGGATGAGATAAAATTTATTGCTGGGCTCTTTTAATAATGTCGTGCTTGCAAAGGTGAATATGAAGCAAGCACTATTTGTCAACATTACGCTGAAGTTTTGGCGTCGCGTGTTTCATGAATCGAAATATGTCTTCTTCTAGCTGTAATCTATATTCTTTGTAGCAGGTAAAAAAGTATTATTATTAGAATTAATATTATAGTATTAATTAATAGTATTAATAGTATTAAATAACCTTCTAAAACGGTATAACTTTTCTTTTTAAACTGAACTAAACGACTTGAATTTTTGGTTAGATGACTAGTCTGCTAGGATCAGTCTGATCGACAATGATTCACCAAGATTTACAAAACGGATTCTTAATTTTCGTTATAGGCTCAAATAAAAAAGTTAGAAAACGCGAGTCTTTTAATTTGTTTTGTCGTTTCAAGTAACAGCAAAATTAAAAAAAAAAAGTATTTTAGTCACCGACCAGTAGACTAGTCGACTAGACTAATCGACTAAACAAAACATCAAGTCATTTGATAGAATTTTAAAAAAAGTTATTGCGTTTTATAAGCGTGCAAAAACATTTTTTACCTATTGTATACATTTCATTTCCGAATAGCATTGTCTGCCACGGACAGTTAGAAAATAGAGACGAAAATGAAGATGTGGTTACATTTCAGACGATTAGAAACATTTACTCAACTCCAGGATTTCCTGGTTCTTGTCTCTAGAAGAATACGGTTTCCCCGCATTTTCGTGAAAACGGATCGGAAACGAGCAATGCGATGGGACTCGGGGATTAAGAAGACATTGTTAACAAAGACGCCTGAATTCTCTTTTATACCAGTGCGAAATCAACCAGCTGTCTCACGTTCTGGTTGCTTTTCCACTGGCAATAGCTGAGCGAAGCAACAAAATTTAATTAAAAATCCTCCTTTGTACCTCTTTGATGGAGTATACGGTCGCCGGTCCAATTATTACGCAAAGCATTCTTGAGATCATAATTACGCCTGATCCAATATCCGCGAGACGTTGCAACCAAGCAGATACATATCTTCGAAGACGTCGGATCCCATAAATCAGCTGGTGGCTCAACCGACAAGACACATATTCGAGCGTCTACCACCGAAATGCTAACATCACTCGGCTAAATTTTATGCTAAACGATTCAACACCCCTCTCTGAGGGGGGGGGGGGCATCGTGGATGCATGTGTTTAATATGTGCATATTCAAATGTCTTCTATTTTTATTTCTTAAGGCGATTGTAAATGGCGAATGCGACTCATACAGGTCTTTACTAATCTTGCTACCGTTATTATTGTCAATAGCAATTTCATCACGCATGAATAAAATTAAGAGGACAACGAAACTGCAAGTCGGTGTTTCATATTTCTTGATTACCCAGTTTCTCTCGTTACGAGGTGCAAACTTTCATGTGTCATTCAACTTTTTCTAGAGTCATCTCTTGTCGAACAAAATGAGTTTCGAATCGTTTTCATTCATCGCGCTGGTCTTGAACCACCCGAAGCCGAGGCTTGGGGTGAATTAGGGTGAATTTACCGCATCTACACTTCATACATCTACCACTTCGACGGTCGTTCTCATGCGCACGTAACTTCGCGAAAATATGAATGATAAAAATCGATTGAGCGCAGCTGTTTAAAAACTGTATCATTATACTATTGACAATATTTGTCCTATTTATGTTATTAATAAAATGTATCGTAATTACGCTATTAAGAAAGTGCATCATAATTACGCTATTAACGGTTCGACTGTCGCGTCATCGATATGTAGGCGACAGGATTATTTATAATATCATTTTCAAAAATTAATTTTTACGCTAATCCATCATAATTTTTTTTATTTTATTAAGATTCGCCAGTGGTAAGAACGTTGAAAAAATAATTCACCTCACATAACATCGTTTTGCAATTTTTTAATTTAATTAAATAAAATACTCTTATTTTATGAAATTTTGTAAACTTTCGGCGCGGCCGTCAAAATGTCAAGCCAAAATCGAGTAGGCACCCTCGTAATTCTAGTAGGCGCTTTCGGTACAATATTCAGTGCTTCGATTTTACAAAATAAAGATTAAAATAATTTCACAATATCGATTACTGAAAATATTAGAAAGAAATTTTATGTGGCTTTTATTTCTTACTACTGATGCAGGAAGTTTCTATGTTACATAAAAATCCGCGGTGACATTATATCTGATATTCCAACAGTCAATTTATGTCATCAATTATTTATGATAGAATCACTCGGATGATCAGTGTTGGCCTTAAAAAAGCGGCATCGCAAGGACTACATAACTTTGCGTGTGCAGATTAAAATGAACAACTTCGAGCGATACTCGCGAGATATATGCACTGTTTAGCCGATGGAGTTACATCATCACAATGATCGAACCACAAAAATTCACATGCACCGACGTAATATTCCGCGTGAAAGCAATCGAAACGTCGCGGTAACAGTATACAGTACCGGCTGCAAGCGTTAACAGACTCACCTGATCGTCTCAAGGATTCTCCATCTCCTCGCGTCCCTCGTAGATCATCCAATGTCGCAAGCTACGCGGATCTGCCGCCAGAGAATCGAATCATCGCCCCGAACGTCTTCAGGAAACCACTGAATTCTTTGCGAACAAGCACGATACTGGTCCTAGATCGAACGTCGAACGCCAATCAGAAAAATCCACTGCAACGTCATCGATCAACGGCAAGCTAATTTTACAGTCTCCGAATCGAAGTCAGTTTAGAATTCACAAAATAGGCGGCAGAGGTTCCACGCGGGGGTCACACGGGCCTCCATCGATCGCCCATGAAACTGTCACTCATCGATCGACAAACTGGATCGGAGCCGACGATCAATCGGTTCGGATCGTTGCCCGGAGAGCTCAGGCTCCTGATTGATTCATCGCAGCGTTCCAACAGCGTCTCGTCTTTGGTTCCCGTTGGGGATCGTGCACGCCCTCCGTCGCGAGAGTCGATCGATCGATCACGATCGACGCCGTTCTCCGCTCACGATCGCGACGGGCCACGATCTCACCGTGAGCAGCGGATCTCCGCGACTGCGGCTACTTCGTATTTCGTATCTACTCGCGGCGAACGATCGCCAGTGAATGCGCGCGCGCTCGCGCGTGCTTCTCTCTGTTCTGTTTCCGTTCGACAGTGCGCGCGCGACTGTGTGCGCGCGATCGTGTGCACGCACGAGACGATGATATGAGCGCGAGCGCGCGCGCGCGCATTCACGATCGGCCGGGAGAAGGAAGGGGGAAAGTTTTTGGCTTCACGATGGGTGGTAAAGTGGTGAACGAGAGAGATAAGAGGAGGATCCTCCGCTTCGACAAGATCGATCCTTCCCCTCGGAATCCCCGTGAAGATCTATGGATCGAGCCTTGGAATTTGTTCGACTAGAATTATTTTCAATTGTTTTCAATTATTATTCGGCCGGAGTTGACGGAGTTTGAGATGTCGATTCATGTAACGTTGTCACAACTTGTTCATTGATGGTTCATTTGTTATGCGAAACATACGTGTTAAAATGCTTAGGTTTATTTATAGTAATGACAGTTATAATGGTTCATTAATGTTAACGGGGGAAACCCGTCGTTGCATATCGTACAGTATAAATAGTACATACATATTGTATAATGTATATTATAGTACATATAAGTACATATAAAAAAAATAGGCGGAAAAAGAAAGAAGAAAGAGAAGTAATGTAATATGATATATGATACGCTACCTATTATTTAATCTGGAGATGTAATTTTGCTTTAATTGAATGTAAATATTTTCTTGTTTCATTGCTCATTATATAATACTCTGATTATTATTCGTTTCTCGACTACTTCTGAGCATAACTGTACTGTGATGTGACACATTGGGTCGAATTAATTTTCAAATGTTTAATGAAAAGAAATTTTGCAACGCGAGGGACACCTTCGAGTTATTCGCATGATTTGAATGCATATGTACATATTTATTTTAAGCACTTTAATTATCATCTTTATTATTCGTAGTGAATGAAAACGTCAAAGGAAAATGTGATTTAGTATAAAGGTGCTGATATTGTGGTAAACAATAAATTTGTCTCAAGGTTTCGGGAATGTAATTTTTCATAGTTTTTTTTTTAATAAGAGCGTATGCTTTTATTAGTATCATGTAATAGCCACGAATTCAATGACCTATAACATTATCATTTTAGCGTAAACTTAAACGTAAACAATATTGGAAATTGGTGGAATTATTTTATGGA